GGGTCCCTGATTGACAAACGCTGAAGACCTCTGCTTTAAAACATCATAGTGGGACAGGGCCTTATATTGACTTTCAGAGCCTATAAAAGGCAGCGGCTCATGTTTGTGTTCCTAAACATCCTGTAGATGTAAAAAAATGAAAAATAAATAAAAAACTAAAAAGCAGATAATTCAGACAAAATTGTCACACGCTTTATTGCATCTACATTTATAGAAACAAAGCAAGCCTAATTCAAATTATTACCCTAAACTCCTCTGAACATTACAGAGGGCTCATCACGGTAACCTTGGATAAAAGGTTTTCCCCTCATTTCTAGTCACTGTTGAGACACAACCCTCAGAGTTTGCAGCTGAAAGGATGAGTTGGAGGGAGGAAGGCTGGGATTTGAGAAATGGAGGTAGACAGGGGTGGGTGTGGGAAACTGCGAATCATATGGTCATGTCAAACAGTTTGCCCGACGACTTGTGACTAGCCCTGCACTACAACCTTACGCCTCCTTTCAGAGAGGCAGAGGAATGAGGCGGGAAGGAGCAAAAAGACAAGTATGAGAGTCTGTCAGAAAGTGCCGGGAGGTTGGAAAATTCTGTAAACTTAAACAGAAAAACTCAAACGATGTTTGGCTGTGGGTATTCGGAGGGGAGGATGTTAGGAAGACAGTCCAGGTGAAAGCAGTCAGTGAAGGAGATAAGCAAAACTAAGTGGGGGGGAGGGAGAAATGGCATAAAATAGAGCACATGTGGTTCTAGTGATTAAGGTCAGAGGTCTTAGAGAGTGGGCATAATAATTTACCCTCTCCTAATCAAACTTGTCAAACTCAAACCAGACGAAACGCCTCCGTGTGGATCAGAAGAAATAAAAAGCCGAACATCTGCGATGAGAAGCCTCCGAGGGGAGAATTTTCTGGAGAAAGGTGCTGAATTGAGTTTCCACTGAGGAGCAGCTACAATGAGCCATACTTTCCATTGTCATCAACAACGCGGAGACACTGCCAACGCTGTAAATAGACAGCAGAGCACCCAAAGATGAAGCGGGCAGACGTGGGTGTAAACATGCGTCTAACACCCGTACGGATGGATGGATGTTGAGCATGCTCGCCCGAGTTTACAGCCCAAGCACACTGTGTATGTGCTGTAAACACAAACAAGAAATTAAATTTTCCACAGCTTTCTCTGCCTTGTTTCTTTTACAGCAGTTTGGACATTCAATCTATCAGGGGAAAAGTTTTCCATTATCGCCGAGTTGGAGGTTTTTATGCATTCTAAGGAGTATTTTGACAATTATTATGGATTAATTATGTATATCTGTTCTACCTTGACACTGTCCGGTTACCATATCTTCTTATAACCAGTTTTCGGCTGTCAATCTGTGTTGGCCCAGACAACAGGACTCCAGCGAGGGATTGACCTCTCTTGTTGAACATTGAAATTTACAGATACTGAGTGAGCAAAAAAATTTTGTGGTGGTAGCCGAGAGTGATCCCCAATACTTTGTGCTAACAGGCAGTATGAAACCTCACAATATTGTGTCTAATTGTGCTAAACGTTATTATCAAGATTGAACCAAAAAGACTTTTTTGGCTTACAATGCCGTGGGAATAATGAATTCCTTTAAGAAACGCTAGGTTTTTGATTAATACATGCATATGCTGTAGTTTTTACATTAGATGTTTTTTTTTTTGTACAGAAGTCTACAGATATGTACATTGAGACTTAATCGATTGAGCTTCATTGTTATAATGGTCCATGTGAAACACAAGTTACAAAGCTGAACATATGGCGGAATCTCACTGGGCTGCAACTATTTGGTGAACAGCATTCATGTGGGACTTTCCTAAATTTCATCAGAATATCTTGTGACTTTTACACGTGATGAGTGAAACTAGTGAAACTGAAATGGAAAATTCCCATCCCAACCAGATTGTTCAAAAAAGCATTTCCCTTAATTAATATCTATATTTTAGATGTACTTAATTTATCTATAATGAATGGTTATGTGCCACAGAGCTTTGAGGTTGCTATAATTAAACGTTTACTTAAGAAACCTGATCTTGATTCAGGAGTTCTGGCCAACTATAGACCTATATCTAATCTCCCATTCATCTCAAAAATTTTTGAGAAAATAGTTGCATATCAACTATGTGAACATCTAGATAGAAATTATTTATATGAGGAGTTTCAGTCAGGATTTAGGGCTCATCATAGCACAGAAACAGCACTGGTTAAAGTTACTAACGATATTCTCATGGCCTCAGACAGTGGACTTGTGTCCATTCTTGTCCTGTTAGGTCTCAGTGCTGCATCTGACAAAATTGATCACAATATTTTATTACATAGACTTGAACTTGATATTGGGATTACAGGAACAGCTCTAAAATGCTTTGAGTCTTATTTAACTGATAGATTTCAGTTTGTTAATGTTAATAATGAATCTTCTTCTTACACCAGAGTTAGTCATGGAGTACCTCAGGGTTCAGTGCTTGGAACAATCATCTTTACTTTATGCTTCCATTAGGTAAAGTCATTAAACAGCATGGGATAAATTTCCATTGTTATGCTGATGATACTCAGTTATATTTATCCATGAAACCTGATGAATCCAACCAGTTACTTAAACTACATGCATGTCTTACAGACATAAAAACATGGATAACTCTTAACTTTCAGCTTCTAAACTCAGATAAGACAGAGGTTGTGGTTTTTGGACCTGAACATCTTAGGGATCAACTTTGCAACCTTTCACCTTCTCTGGATGGCATTAATCTGGCCTCCAGTTCTAATGTAAAGAACATTGGTGTTATTTTTGATCAGCATATGTCTTTTAACCCCCACATTAAAAATGTTACCAGGACCGCCTTCTTCCACCTGTGTAATATCACTAAAATTAGAAACATTTTGTCCAAAAATGACATGGAAAAACTGATCCATGCGTTTATCACGTCTAGGCTGGATTATTGTAATTCTTTATTATCTGGACATCCAAAAAACTCTTTAAGAAGTCTTCAGTTAATCCAAAATGCTGCTGCTAGAGTTTTAATGAGAGTTGGAAGGAGAGATCATATTTCTCCAGTTTTAGCTTCTCTCCACTGGCTCCCTGTCAAATTTAGAATAAAATTTAAAATATTACTCCTAACATATAAAGCTCTTAACAACCAAGCTCCATCATATATTAAATATCTTATTGTTCCATACTTTCCTAACAGAGCACTTTGCTCTCAGACTGCAGGTTTACCTGTGGTTCCTCAAGTTTCTAAAAGTAGAATGGGAGGCAGAGCTTTCAGTTTTCAAGCTCCTCTCTTGTGGAACCAACTTCCAGTTTCTGTCCGTGAGGCTGACACTCTGTCTACTTTTAAGATTAGACTGAAGGCTTTCCTTTTTGATAAATCATATAGTTAGACTTAGGTTTCCTGAATTATTCTTCATTTAGACTGCTGGAGCACAAACTAAGCACATTTCTTCACTCTGCTGTTGTCTTTAGTCTCTCTTCTCTATATGTTTATCGCAATTATTTCTATCAATAATGTTTTTCTTTTTGTCTCTTTTCCAGAAGAAGGTGCACCTGGACCAGCTCTTCTGTGTTTGGCTGTGTCTCTTTCCTGTCCCCCAACACTGCCGGTCGAGGCAGATGGCTGCCTGTCCTGAGCCTGGTTCTGCTGGAGGTTTCTTCCTTTTAATAGGAAGTTTTTCCTCTCCACTGTTTGCTGAGGATGGGAGACTGTGATTAAGTGATTCAACACAATCTTCTTTAGATTGTTCTTTTTCATGTACAGTGCCCTGAGACAACATATGTTGTGACTTGGCGCTATATAAATAAACTGAATTGAATTGAAAATTCATAAAATTTTATGCAATTCTGAGTAACAAATGAGTCTCCCAACAGGTGTAACTCAGTGAGATATGCCTTTAAATTTACAAAGCCAGAGTGAATATTTGGTATAAAGGAAAACTCATTAAAATAGTATTTGGTTGAACCATTTTAAAGTTGGGAGATTTTACACCTTAGGACTTATGTGTCAAAAGGCAGCACGACAGCTCAGTGGTTAGCACTAGCCGTGTTTCCATAAACGTTTTTTTATGCACATTTTGAAGTATCGCATCAGAAAAGGTGAATGGAAATGGCATGATTCAAAAAACTTCCTCTAATTCGCAAAAAAGTTGATACGCTCACTTGAGATGGTTTCTGGGTTTTTCGAAAAAGAGTTAATGCGTAAAAGGAGAGATGGAAACAGATTTGCCAAATAAGTTCTAAGCGAACATTTACCTCACATGGTTGATCAGCTATTTGTGCTGTCTAAACAGTACAGGTACCAGAGCGACTGCAGCCACGACTGGCAGCAGGACACCTTCTCCCGCTGTCGGCGTATTCAGTTATTTCCGTAACGTGAAGAGAATTGCATATTTTTCTCTATGTCTCCAGACAGAATGTAACATCAACAGAACTAGTTAAAATGACAGAATAAGTACAACTTTCCTGATAGTAGCAACACATTCCTGATAACTTCTCTCCATTAACCTGAGATGTGTGGACCCTGTGAGTTCGCAAATTTTACTTCCTGTTTACTACACACATGCGTCTGACCTAATTGATTCGCTTCAAGCCAGTTGACGGAAACACATCTGATTCACATTTCTTCATTTTTTCCTTTTTGCAAAATTTTAAAAATTTGCTCCAAATTCGAATTAAAATTGGACGGAAACACGGCTACCGTTGCTTCGCAGAAAAGTCTTGGATTCAATCCACTGCTGAGACCTGGGTTCTTTCTGTGTGGAGTTTGCATGTTCTCCTCGTGCTTGTGTGGATTTTCTCCAGGTACGCTGGTACCTGCCACAGTCCAAGAGCATGCATGTTAGGCTGCCTTCAGACCCAAAACTCACTTGCAAAATAGATCTGTGATCTCAGTGGGAATTGGCTTGGTAAATAAAGGTTAATACGATAGGCTTTTAGCTAGGTTGCAATTAGCATGTTTTGTTTTGCAATACATGTTTAACAAGAACCATCCAAGATCACAGTCAACTCAGTCGTCAGCTTAAATATCCTTAGAATTCTAGACAAATGACTGTTAGAAAAAACTGACAGCAGTGCAAAACAGAAAAAACCCCCACTTTGGTCTTGTGTCATTCTGTTGAGCCATTAGCTCGAGTCCTCTGAAAAAAACAAAAACAACCTGTTAGTCCTGCTCCGGGTGATTTCTACTGAAGGAAAAATACTGAACACCGATCACTTCCACTTAACACCACATCAGACATCAAACAAACTGTTTATTTAAGCTTAAGTGTTACCTACAGTATGCATGCAGAAGTTGTCTGCTTTAACGCCCCGCTTTTACTGTGCTCTGAGCCCCAATCCGGAGCAAGTCTCATACACACTATAATAAACTGGCTTCTGGCTGTTTACGAGACAGGCCTGTTTTACTTATTCAGAGTGAAAATTATGCCTCAGCAAGTAATTAAATGCAACCCAAAACACATTGTATTAGAATAAACTTTGACCTATTTACCAGAAGAACCTACATGGTTGAATTTATGGCACAGCTTGTAACTAAAGTGAATCCCACAGACAAACCAAAAAAATAAAAAAGAAAACTTTCCCACTCAGGCATGGGAAACAAATATAACCTTCCAAAAACATCTTCCTACATTAATCATTTATTCATGCAACAGATGGTGATTCAAATCTAAACCTTCTCAACTTCAGGCACTAACTGGATGCCACAAATGAATGAATCCATCGGGTGAATTATAGGACGACATCTGAGAGGAGAAGAGCCGTATTAAACTCAGACTTGTGCTTTGGCTTGAAAATTCTGACTTAACTGGAACTGCAGTGTATGAACTCGCAGGGAGAAAAGCCCCGGATCATAGCCAGAGGGGAAGGAGGGGAGTACTTATGAGAAACTGTCAGCCCTCAGATTACTGTAAACTGGTGTGTAGCTGTAACCAGTACTGGTTGCTTCCATATGAAGACCATTAGGCGCGAGGATGAAGGGATTCTGGCTTCCAGGAATGGACGAGCTGACGGAGCTGCAGTCACGTGTGTGGGTACGAGTGTTATGTGAACATGAGCAGAAACACTTACCTCCTCCATACTTTCCTTCCTTTTTTTTTTACAATCAAAATTGCTAAACAATTTAAATGAAATAAATCAACATTAAACAGGGATTGGCTAGTGTTGAAGTAGATTGACAGCAACTTTATAACACCTGCCTCTTGCATGTAATGCTACTGGGGAAGATAAGATTAATAAGATGACTATATTTCTTTCATCCTATTATTTATACGTCTCATCCAGCCAAAATTAAATTGACTCTATCCAGGAGGCGCCATATATGGATAATTTTGTTTTAAATTCGAATGATGACAAGCCGGAATGAAAACAAGCCAAAGTGAAATAGAAATCAAATAATTTTTACATTTTTAAATGTATGGAGTAGAAAGTACATATAAATTACATGAAAATTTAAAGAGTAGAAGTAAAAAGTTGATTCATTAAGGTAAAGTATTTGTACCACTTTGAGGTACTTCATATAAGGCAGATGTCTGTGTATGTTTGTACCATTCACAAACTCTCTCAAAAACCAGAGGGCAGGTTTTATTTAAACTCTCAAAAACCAAAAATTGAATGTACCTTTTAGAGTCAACCCAATTCAAGATGTCCGCCACACCTAATCAACTATAGCCAACACAGAATTGGCTATAATTCAGCCAGTTTAATAGATTTTGGGTTAAAATGTAGTATGGTAGTAGCTATGGGTTATTAACAGCACACAATCTGAGGGCTAACAGTTCGTGCAGAACATTATTTTTAGGATTCAGCCAAATTAACCGTGGCAGTATGCATTTCTTTCATTAAACAGGGATTCCCGTGTATGTCTGCGTGTGGTTAAACTTACATATTTGCCTGAAGAGGCTTCTCCAGGAGGTAGAGATCCAGGACTGAGGACAGGTGAACCTGCCGGGCTGCAGAGTTCTGGGAAAGGGTTGGGGATGGCCGGGAGAGACGAGGTCCTCAGCTGCTCCTCCTCCTGCAACCTCCTACACAACACAAACAGGACAAAGGTTTGGTTATGTGGTCAAAATGGTATTAGTTAGACTGGAATACAGTGAAGCCCCACAAAGGTGTGTTTCACAGTTTGCGGACTGTCTGTTGCAGGTTTTTTTCATGGAGCCTATGTAAGTGCTAGTAGTTTGCGGTGATCCCTGTGATATCATGGAAAACGGAAATACAGTAAATACAGTACAGTAATTAAGATTTAAATTATTAAGAACAATAACTTTACCTCCTAACAGTACCATGTGATGTGTAGCTAAGTGTGTAGCTCGTATGTGTTTTGGTTCGTGCCGCATTATGATGCTGCCCCAAATTTGCAGTAGGCCTTTTCTGGATCACATCCAATATTTGTTTTTGTTTTGTTTTGTTTTTTTTTCCACAATTTGTGGGGACTCTAACAACACAACCCCCACAAAAATCAGGGCTTCACTGCAAACTGAAATCACAGCTATAACCTGGAGGATCCTTTTTGTGTGCGTGTAAAAAGTGAAAATGGGGGAAGAAAAAAAAAGTTTCCAACTAGAAGCTGCTGAAACATGTAAAAATAAATGCTGGAGAGATCGATTTAATTAAGCAGCGCTGCAGTTTGGAAACTCATTCCTGTTTCCGTCTGATCTGGCCATAATGAAGAGTCTCAAAGCGAGTGGAAACTCCAGACTCCCGCAGCTAATTTACTGCAATATTTATCACACATCAATACTAAATCTAGACATCACTTTAAAGCAGTTTCTGACTTAAGCAGATGCAGCACAAGTCTCCGATGATTACTTGACAGATGGGTTAATTCGTGTTTTTTTTAAATGAGCAGGTCAGTTTGTGAAACTTCAGATCAGATGTTTTAAAAAAAACAATATAAAAGCCTCTTTTCCCTCTCTGTGTGTGTGTCTGTAGAAAGCAGTGAGTTCAAAAGGGATCAGGCCTTTTGATGTTGTCCCATATGAGCTGGAGAGCAGGGTTATCCAGAGGTCAGTTCTGTATAATAGGAACTTCGGGGCCCGCGTATGTATGGGTGTGTGTGTGCTTGACAGAGACGCAGCACTCATAAGACAGAATACTCCATTACCTGATCATCCCTCCTCTGCTTCTGTCATATGGTCTGAAGGCACAAAAAGTGGAACTGACACCAGCTCTGCTTTGAACTTGTTTGTGTGTAATGTATGCACAGAGCTATAGTGCTGGGTGTGTGTGTTTGCATGAGAGAGAGAGGGAGAGAGAGAGAGAGAGAGAGAGAGAGAGAGAGAGAGAGAGAGAGAAAAAGAGAGTAGCTACTTTTGAATCCACACAAGTGGGAAGAATTCAAACAAATGAGGATTTTTTACTTTCTCCCCCTGCTGGTGCACAACCAGTCTGAGGCAAAGAGGGAGTGACAAGCAGGAACGGGTCATCCCTGGGTTACACACTGGGAGCAGAAAAGAAAATGTTATTGCCTGTTATAACGAGGGGAGGAGGTGCAGTGAACGCTTCTTTTTTTTTACGTGGAGAGAAAAGGTTTGAGTTCTGAATCAGTGTGCTGATTTATGCTGAAGATGTGAAACATTTTGAACACAGTTTCAGCTCGTATCCTGTAGCCATAGTTTCAGTTATGTGTTGCTGTTGGCTCCAGTCACATCATGTTATTACTTTTACATAAGAAAAAGAACCTGCTTATTCAGTTTTCCCTTCACTCATTAGTTTTGTGAAGTGATCTGATTTATTTATATTTATTTATTTATTTATTTATTTATTTATTTTGCAATTGTCTTAGTTTGGTCTATTTAACAACTCTCATATACAAAACAAGAGAAAAAATGTTAACAATATTACTGAAACTAGCTTTCTTTGAGGCAATGGATGTTGCCCACATTATGGCATATCAAAGTTTTAACCTAGAATATACTGTACTTGTGTCTTAAGTATGTGCTGGGAGGGACTCTCGGCTACTACCATACCAAACTGTAGCTTAAGATATGTAAAAATGACTGAGTTACAGCCATTTTTGTGTTTAAGATTACTTTGCGTTACTGTGTGTTACCATGAACTGACAAATTAACTGTAAGGATAATGACAATTCCACTGGGAGTTTATCAGAAAGCGCCTGATCATGAGAGCTAAAATAATCTGATCTACAAAAAATAAAAAAATAATAAAATAAAACTGAACTATTTGATGAGTAGTTCCAGTTCTAATTTTAAGGAAATCAGCATTTAGCTTAACCAGTCGATGTAATTCCAAAAGCTGAGCTAGTGGTCGAATAAAGCTACCATATTTTCCTGACAATAAGTCACATGTTTTTTCATAGTTTGGCCATTCCTGTGACCTATACTCAAGAGCAACTTATGTATGTTTTTTTTCCCCTCTTTTCATGATGCATTTTTAGACTGATTCATACTGACTGACATGAACCAACTAACTTGTGAGAGACTGGCAAAAAGCAGAGGTTGCCTGACTGCACTGAAGAAAATGAAGAAAGCTAATCGGGTGATGTAGCGAACTTACCAGTAACTGCCGGTAGAGAGCTGCCTCGCTGTGGATGTCAGCAGGGATCAAAATTTCAAATGTGCAAATCTTATTTTGTTTTATTTGCGACACAATAATAATGAACCACACCAAACTGGAAGGAAAAGAACTGAAGGCTGTATTTATAATTGGACCATCCAGTAATATGAGGCTAATGATGAGAGGGAAGGACGACAGAGGATAGTAAGCTAATGTAAGCTTCTTGTTGGTAACTTGTTTTTTGGTAACTTGCTGATGTTTAGTTGAACTTGTGTGAAGAAAAAGTTACAGTTGTTGCAAACAATTCATGTACAGTGGGGAGAACAAGTATTTGATACACTGTTGATTTTTCAGGTTTTCCCACTTGCAAAGCTCGTAGATGACTGTAATTTTTATCATAGGTACTCTTCAACTGTGAGTGATGGAATCTAAAACAAAAATCCAGAAAAATACAATGTATGATTTTCAAATAATTAATTTCCATTTTATTGTGTGAAATAAGTATTTGATCATCTATCAACCAGTAAGAATTTTGGCTCTCACAGACATGTTAGTTCTTCTTTAAGAAGCCCTCCTGTTCTCCACTCATTACCTGTATTAACTGCACCTGTTTGAACTCGTTACCTGTATAAAAGACACCTGTTCACACATTCAATCAGCACTCTTGTTTTCTTATACTTTTGGTGTTTCTGCTGCAAAACTTGGACCAACATTCGCAAAATAATTATTAAATGCATTCACAATTTCATTCTGATCAGGTGTTTTTTTCCATCTTTTACAAAATATTGTAAAATCATACTTTGTGACTCTTCAAAACTCTAGTCATTACTCACCACGTTTCTTTCATATCACCATTATTTTTCTCTAATAAACCACCGTAATATTCCTTATTATAATCCATACCATGTTGTTTTTTTTAATATTTCCTGTATTTCTCTTATGATTCTTTTGCTCTTAATTTCAGGAAGCACGAATACAAGTAATCTTTTTACAAGCAGTTTCTCAAACCTTTAATCAACCACGGTTTATCAACATTTCTTTTTTATTTATTTTTCTTTTTTTTACAAAAAAAAGATTACAAAACAAGATTACAAAACAAAACTGGAAGAAGTGTACATTGAATATGTAAACAAAGCATATATGTTTTCATGAATATTTTAGGAACATTGTATGAAAAGAATTGTGTGAAAAATAAATAAAAAAGAAATGTTGATTAAAGGTTTGAGAAATGCTTGTAAAAAGATTACTTGTATTCGTGCTTCCTGAAATTAAGAGCAAAAAGAATCATAAGAGAAATACAGGAAATATTAAAAAAAAACAACATGGTATGGATTATAATAAGGAATATTACGGTGGTTTATTAGAGAAAATAATGGTGATATGAAAGAAACGTGGTGAGTAATGACTAGAGTTTTGAAGAGTCACAAAGTATGATTTTACAATATTTTGTAAAAGATGGAAAAAAACACCTGATCAGAATGAAATTGTGAATGCATTTAATAATTATTTTGCGAATGTTGGTCCAAGTTTTGCAGCAGAAACACCAAAAGTATAAGAAAACAAGAGTGCTGATTGAGTGTGTGGACAGGTGTCTTTTATACAGGTAACGAGTTCAAACAGGTGCAGTTAATACAGGTAATGAGTGGAGAACAGGAGGGCTTCTTAAAGAAGAACTAACATGTCTGTGAGAGCCAAAATTCTTACTGGTTGATAGATGATCAAATACTTATTTCACACAATAAAATGGAAATTAATTATTTGAAAATCATACATTGTATTTTTCTGGATTTTAGTTTTAGATTCCATCACTCACAGTTGAAGAGTACCTATGATAAAAAAATACAGTCATCTACAAGCTTTGTAAGTGGGAAAACCTGAAAAATCAACAGTGTATCAAATACTTGTTCTCCCCACTGTAGTTACTCTCACCTGTATTATCTATCTATGTTAATTAAGGTTATTCAGCATCCCAAGATGATTTCTGTGTTAATGTGGTTTTCCAGATTAAATGTCTGTCCTAAGACTTATAGTCAGGTTCAACTTATCTATGTTTTTTTCCTCTTCATGATGCATTTTTTGGCTGTTGCGACTTATACTTTAAAGTGACTTATAATCCGCAAAATACGATAAATATTTTTTATGCATCAAAGAAACCAGGAATATACTTTCAGGAATATTTTCATGGGTGATTGTGATATCAGGTTTAGAGATTCAAAAAGTATATTGAAGTATATAGTTAATACTAACATCTAGTGGTGAGCCAATACAGGTATCAGGATCGTAACAATACTAGCATTTTTACATTTTTAAAAGTATTCCTCCACGTCCAGAGTACCCTGATACCAGCAACCAACACCGGCATTGACACCCCATTCAATGTGTTACAGTTTACATTTCAAGTGAAAAGTTTATCAGTTATGTGTTTCAGAACAGCAACAATGGAAAGATGCACTAAAGGTGTCAGTGTATAGAACAATCTTGATAGTAATATCCAAATCTCTTTCATTCTTGCATTTAAAAGAAATTTGAAAATCATTATGATGAAGCGATATGGTATTGAATAAGCAGATGTTTTGTTATGTAGTATTTGTGTATTTTTTGTAATGTATTTCTTGTGTATTTGAAATACGCCTATAATAGTCTTATAGAGTGGATGAAATAAAAAATTTATGAAAATGCAAAAACATTATACAAGTTGAAATAAAATGTTTAAATTGTGTAATATTCTACTGTGTATGATGTTTATTTGATTTGACAGTTAGAGGGGCTGTAGGCCTGTAAGGAAGAAGAGCCACCTAACTAAAAACAGCCTTTGTAAAGTCATTGTGTAATGTTTAGGTTCTAACTCAGTATATACTTGGTTTTGGTGCTCTGTATCTGCGACACAAACTGAAGTACCCGGTTTGAAAAAAACTGGCATTGAGACATCCCTACTAATATCCAATCATGCAAAAATATTTTAGCTGTAAGCTTAAACTTTCCTTATAAAATCAGCCAAAAAAAAGGGGGTGGGGGGAGTACAGCAGCACAGAACCATGGAGCCTGGATCTGTGGGTTGAGCTCTGACCTCAGCCAGATATCTGATCCAAGAATGACATCAGTATCAGAGGCTGACACTGATATCTCATAGAAGTGGTCCAAGTTCTAGCAGTGATCCCTATCCATACAATGTAACAAAAAACCATAGAAACAACTTGGGGAAAACTGGCCCTGAATTTGATAAAGTATTTCTGGAAAATCCAAGTGGATTCATCTGAACATTTATGCTCAAGATGCTTCAAAGATAATACCAAAGTAAAGGTGGTTATTGCTGAAAAAGATGCAGGATTAACACTTTGGTAAAAGCTAAATTTATTCCTTAATACATTAGCTAAAAGTTAACAGTTTGAGTTAACAGGGTCTCACAACTTTTTTACCTGTCTTGAAATGTAATGAAAAACTACACTTTTTGAAAAAAAAAACTCCAAATGCGCAGAGACCAAAGGTCAATCAATGGCTACAAACAGCAGAACTTTCAATTGATAATTTTAGGTTTGTGTTGTCAGAAATAAAACCAAACTACTTCATAAAAGAAAACATGAATGGAAGTCTAAAGCCACTAACCTGACGGCGAGGATATGCATGGGCTGTGACCGTCGGAGGCCGGTCTGGGGCTGATCGGCAGTCGAGGAGAAGGAGGAGGAAGACGGCGGCTCTGGGGAGACGTGGGTTAACACCTGCGAGGTGTGAAGCTGCGGGGGCTGGTTGTTGTGTGTAGGATGGTGGTGGTGGTGGTGGTGCGAGCAGGAGCTCTGTCCGTTCTGCTGCAGCAGCGGGGTTGACTCCGTCTGCTGACCGCTGCAGGACGAGTACAGGCTCTCCAGAGAAGAGTTCATATCATTCACCAGGGCCTCCAAGTCCACATCATCCTCTGACGGACAGAAGAGAAACCAAACACAAGGTGGTGAAGAAACAGTAGAGGTGAAACATGCCAACATTTCTGAGGAGAAGAAACGGTGAAGGGTTTTGTGAAAAAAAAAAAAAACATTAAATAAAGTCTTGGAAGTCCTTGAGGGACTCCATACTGCCCTCCAACTGTTATGTCAGAGTTTTACCCTCAAACTATCTTTTGGTGAGAAACAATGGAGTTGTAGTTATTTTGGTCAAACTTAAATGATGATTATGTACAATCTCATTTGATATTGTGAGATCTCACTAGATGTTTTGAAAATGACTCTCAGCTACAACCAGAGGGTTAAAGACCTGTTAGTGTTTGCTAAGGTCACTTAGTTATGCTGTCATCATGAGCTGGGTGAACTCAAAACATTAAAGGGTGGTAGATTACATGCAGTGATTATGTCTTGTGAGTTCATTAAAATCCTCTTTGTAGTTCATGAAATATTTTGTTAGTGCTACAAACACACATATACACAGTTGTGACCAATGATTTCCCTTTTCAGTTCTGTAGCCTAAGCCTGATACTTTCCCCAAACAGAAACTCAATTCAGACCATAGTCCTAAACCTCAACCATCCATCCATCCATCCATCCAATATCTTTACCTGCTTCTTACTTTCAAGGTCATGGAGGTCACTGGTGCCCATGTCCAGTAGTCATTGTGCAAGGTGCGGGGTACACCCTGGAAAGGTTGCAAGTCCATCACAGGACCACATAGAGACAATCATTCATTCTCTCACTCACACCAAGGGACAATTTAGAGTTACCGATTAACCTAACAGTTGTGTTTTTGGTCTGTGGGAGGAAAGGTCCCTGGCCAGGATTTGATCCAGCAACTTCTTGCTGAGAGGCAACAGCTCTACCAACTGAGCCACCATGCAGAGCCAATAAACCCAACCCCAAAATTGGTGTTCCACTGTATTAGTACTGGTCTTTGCTCCCCAAAAGGACTACTGGTCCTGACAAGGTAGTTGTTAATACCAGAAAAGGTCCTAAAATGTAACACACGCACACGCACACACACACACACACACACACACACACACACACACACACACACACACACACACACACACACACACATAGAAACACAAGCAAAAATATAGTGAGCAATGGAGAGCAGAAAAATTCGAGCAGAATGTAAAGTTCCAGCAAACTGTGGGTCTTTGTTCAGTTTCTTTACCATCTCCGTGTCTATATATACTTTATGCATGTGTATCTATAGGTGTGCACCCACATTGATGGGTAACTAGTTCTACCAGTGAGCTTATTCAGAAAGCCAGTCTCAACCCTGCACATTGTTCTGCCCAGTGAGTCTAATCTCCGGGGACATCAGGAACAGGCACAAACCTGCCCGCTACACTCCTAAACTCTCACCGCTGGGAGTCAGCGCAAACGAGGAGGCTTCCGCTCTGAATTCATCATGAGTTGGAAATATTCTGCTTTTAAATGTTTTAGAGGCAAGATGAAAAATTCTAAGCAGAGAACAAATCAACCCTGTAAAACTCGTCGGAACCCCCACCCCAGGCAGATTTAAATTCAAGAAGTGATTTCTCAGCAGTGGGAGACTGCAATTTAATTGCTCTGTGCTATGAATGTTTTATCACCTGGATTTCTAATTTTGCTCTATTTTTAAATTGCAGCGTGCTCTGGTGATTCATCTTTAAACTAAGTGTTAAGCTTGGGAATGAAATCTAATGATTCTATCAAACTGCTGCGTTTACAGTAACAACTACACTGTTGTGTAAGAGTGAGCCTACCACTGGGGGGCGACAAACTCTAATAGTCTGAACTGGACTCCAACCTAATGAAACATAAGAACATGATAGAAATGTAAACAAGAATCAAGAATACTAACAGAAGACTTTTAAAATAAGAATATTTACCTTGAATAACGTAATACATTGTGGTTATTTTACTGCTTTAACACCTGCATTAAACAAGAAAGAGGTGTTTTTCTTAAAGACTGATTCAGTGAATTAAAGGCCTAACATTCCTTGTAGGAATGCAGCTTCTGCCATTTTTCATATCACAGTGTTAGACTGAAATTATCTTGTGCTGAGAAGAGTTATAGTTATTTTGGTCGAACCTTGAAAACAACATTATGTACAATCTTGAGCCATATTGTGAAAAGTTGCATGATTTAGTGGTCAGAGTATGTGTTGAGAATCACTTTTGGCTACTAGCAAGCAACACTTTGGCCAGCTGTGGCAGAGTGGTTAGGGGAGTCGTCCTGGAACCGGAAGGTCACCAGTTCGATCCCCCGTCCACCTGTCTCAGTTGTTGTGTCCTTGGGACACATGTAAATCTAGTTGTTGTGTCACCCCTAACTCTGACGTGTGTCCCATCAGTGTATGAATGTGACAGGCACTGGTTAGTCTCCATAGATGATTGTATGTTAGCTTTGTAGAGACCTAAGAGAGTGTTGTCTGAATGGGTAAATGAGGGTACAGATTGTAGTGTGAAGCGCTTTGAGTGTCCTGGATGGATAGAAAAGTGCTATAAAAGTACAGTCCATTTACAATTTACTTTAACTAAGTTTCACTGAGTTAGAACCATTTATTGTGTCTGCTAGAGCAGAGGTTCTCAAACTGGGGTCCCAGGACCCCCCAGGGGTCCACGAGAGGTATCTTGGGGGTCCTCAAAAAATTTCACTAAATTGTTAATTTGGTTTTTATTTTTTTAAATGCACAGGGAAGCCGGCCGGCTTATACGCTATCGGGTGCGGGGGCATCAGGAAACTCCGCTCTCCCCAGTGACACCTTCCAGCTCGTCCTGGGGGACTCCGAGCTGTTCCCAGGCCAGAGAGGGTACACAATCCTTCCTGCGAGTCCTGGGTTTTCTCCAAAGTGCCAGACTTATTTTGAAAACATTTTAAAATGCTTATTTCAAACCCGCATCTGAGACCACCTGTGACCGCGCATTTACTTTAGCTAAGTTTCACTGAGTTAGAACCATTTATTGTGTCTGCTAGAGCAGAGGTTCTCAAACTGGGGTCCCAGGACCCCCCAGGGGTCCACGAGAGGTATCTTGGGGGTCCTCAAAAATTTCACTAAATTGTTAATTTGGTTTTTATTTTTTTAAATGCACAGGGAACAACGAACTAATAAAACAGTCATAATAAACTAAATAAGAAATATATTCCCATGGCATTTAGGGGTTGAAACGACAGTAAATTACCCTTTAAAAAAGCATGGGGTTTATGAGGGGTCCCTTGAATTTTTCGCCCTTGTAAGGGGTCCCAGAACCAAAAAGTTTGAGAACCCCTGTGCTAGAGCATATTGTGACAGCCATCTTGAATTAGTTTATGAGTTACATCCATTCATTATTTTCTGAATAGTTTATTAAAAGCCAGTTAGTAATTTATAAGGTTTTTTTTTTTTGCCAACAGTACAGACAAACATGCATGTACACATGGGTGATAAGAGAAAAAAAAGGAATTAGCTACATAAACTTTGCCCAAGTGTTACACTTGTCAGCACCTAGAAATTTTCCATTTTGTTAAGAATGCATTGTAAATACTTTAAGTGAGATCAATGGATGCAACTCCTCCTTTAATATTTACACAGGGTTCATGTGCAGCATCACTGCAGCTCAGGGTGCTGGAAAACTGACAGCTGGATTACGTGATGATACAAATATCATGCCACTCTAAAGCAGCTAAAAGTCCCATGACTCAGCAGAAAGCTGGTCATAGAAGCAAACAATGATTCGATCAATGTTAAGTTTGATGAAATGGGGTGACAAGGTTCAAAGCAAGACACTTAGCGATGCTAAGGAATCACTTTATTGTTGAATTAGAGCATTTCCCCTTTTTTGTAGAATAAAACATGTCTGTTGAAACAGCAACAGCAGGATGATCCTGGTTTCTTTACACACTGCAACAGCCTAGTTCTTTTCTCAGCAATCAGCTAAAAGCATAGTGTTGTCTTTCAGAAGCTTTTTCTAAAAATGTGTCAGGTATGGTATCACAGGTGCATGTGACTTGCAAGTTAATCTTTGGGTATTAATAGTGACAGGTAAGCTGGAGCAGCTACTTATAGGTAGGTTGCAGAGCTAAAGAGACGAATACGACAAGATGCACGGTGCCAGGCTGAAGGCTGGGGACAGAAAAAAATAAATAAAACACACCAGTAACACGGATCAGATCCACCTGGCATATGGAAGCGATCAAAGAAACAGTGGCCTAAACAAATGCAAATGTGTGCTGGTGTGAGAGCACACCAGAAACTACAACAAAAATCTAGAGGAATTGCAGAAGATGTGAAAACACAGTGTAAATATGGTGAATATTTTTGCTGACCTGAAAATCAATTATTAAAGTTAAAATGGGTCAAAAAAATGTTACTTAAAAAACAAAAGTGGAAAAAAAAAAAACAGCTGGTAACAACTAAAGTATCAGAAGGCTTATGCTGCATTTTAAGTTCATCCTGAAATTTCACTCGAAAGCCAAATATCCTTTACTTCTTGTGAGTATTGTATGAATATAGAGCACCAAGTGTAAAATAAAATGTAAAAATTTTCAGTAACAAATTTTCATTATTTACATAGCTCACTTTCTGAATGTAAAATCCTACTTAAAATATTTCCACTAAAATTTTATTTTTATTTGATCACTGTTCTTACAATCTTTACTAAATGTCTAAATGTTAAAGCATAAATGTAAATGTGTAAATCTAAATTCAAAAGTTAAATGTAAATGTTGCAGTTAAATGTTGAAGTTCACATTGAAATATTTCAGAATGAAATGCAGCCTTTGCCATTGGTGCATGGCTCTTCTTATGACATCGTCATCCTGCAACAAAAGCAACCGCCAATGCTGCTAACACTGCTAGTGCTGCTAATGCTTCCCTACAAGACATCAAATTCACAGTTGCGGCCGGTGCCCGAGCTGCACTTTAAACTATCAGACCCAGGTATCATCCATATAGTTTTCAATGAACACATTTTGAATTTAAATTTTAAGCAGCGTTAGAAGCGATAGCAGTTGCTTTTGTCTCACGATGATGACGTCATAACAACAGCTGTGCACCAATGGCATTTTGATTTAAAATTCAACATTTAGACGTAGCATTTAACATTTAAATTTAACATTTAGTACAGATTTGCTAAACGTAAGAACAGTGAGCTAAATAACAATAAAATGTTAGTGGAAAATTTTAAGTAGGATTTTACACTCAAAGTGGGCTACTTTAAATAATGAAAATGTGTTAATGACATTTTTTAACTTTTTATTTTACAAATAAAAATAAATAACATACGGAAAAGTAGTCTGATTGCAAAATGAAAAAAGGGAAACCTCGTTTTACACAATAAGCACGTCAGCTGCTCAGTAGGTGAGACGTGCATCCTAAAGCCATCAAAGCAAAAAAAACAAAACAAAAAATCTTGACCTGCTTTGGCCTTTGGAGGGAGATTAGCATAGTTGTACGCACGCAAAAGAAAAAACAACCTTTACACTCGCACAGGCAATATTTGTGCGTCATCACCAATCACCGGCGCACGTCACAATCAGTCAAACGCAAGTATGCTTCAGTCTGCCTGACGTGAGCCAGACAGATTGATCATACTGAAGGCAGGCAGCATTAGGAGAGGCATGCATGGGATTTAAAACAATAGGTATTTACAAGAGGGTGCAAACTTTTAATATCAATCCGTAGAACTAAAGGTTTGAGGGAAGATCAGGAAACACAACCTATACGACAGTTGCCCCGGGCAGAAACAAGAGAGGACATAAACCTCTGCATTTATTTCCTCTTTTTCATCCAGCATTCCAACCAGTGACTAGATTCTCTAAAAATATTAGCTCAGTTCATGCAGCAGGGATCACAACATAGGCAGAATGAGCTCGTATCACTCCCAGGTTATTGCCTAATATTATAAAGTGTTCTCTACTCTAAGATCACAAACGTTTGAGGTTTAACTGAAGCATCTGAAATACAGGTTCAGACGTAGCTGAACCTCGGCTCTTGCATCATCGTGCAGCAGAAAGGAAAGTTTACAAAACAGATACAACAAGAGCAGCAACAGATAAAAACATCCGCCTGATGCTGAAGGTTTAGTTGAACTTTTGTCCACTTAAAGAATATTTATTGTACACCAAAATATGTTTACATGTATTAACACTTACTGGATTGAAACAGTAGCACGGCGTTGGTTCAGATCTAGTAAAGGGAGGTTAGGCAAGGCAAGGCAAATTAATTTGTGTCTTATTTTATACCAACAATTCAAGGTGCTTTACAGAACAACAAGTCAACATGAACAAGGCAAAACTACCTATGAACACACACCAAAACACTGGTAAAAATGTAAAACAATAAAATATCCAATATTGGGACAAATCCAAAATGAATTAGTTAAAAGCATAAGAATGTCTTTATTTATTCAGATCAGACTCAAGTCAGCTCCTCAGGTAGTTTGTTCCACATGTAAAAGGTAGTAGAAACTAAAGTCAGCTTCACCACGTTTGGTTCTGATTCGTGGAACAATTAATAATCCTGGATTTGCTGAGAGGTCTGGATGGTTCATGATGTGTAAGATGGTTTATTGAGTACTGTGGAGCTGAACAGTGATTTATGGAAGTAGAGTACAAAGTGTTGAGGATAGTCCTACACTCTACACTCATTGGGCCTCATGCAAGAACCGTTCGTACGCACAGATTTGTTCTTAAATTGTGCGTACGAGTGATTTAGGAGAATTTGTGGCATTCACCA